AAATGTTTTGACCCCTAACAAAGCTTAAACCCTAAAAAACAAAACCATAATACAACATAGTTAATCCAAACATAAATAATATAGTGAGTCAATAATTTTGAAAAGTGGTATTTTTGCAATGATTTTGATAAAGTGACATTTTTGAAAGGTGACATTTTTCAAAAAAATTCTACTATAATTATGAATAAAGATAGAAAAAAATATAAAACCAAATATACTGATATTTTCAAAATATCATTAAACCCGATTAAATCTGGTCGAACCACATTGATCAGTCAAACCACATTGATCCATAATCCAAAAAAAATTGATCCGGTTTTAAGAACATTGCTCGTGAATCGTAACACTATTTTTTTATTACTTCATTGTTTAATTATATAATAAGTATTATGGTTAATTTATTGAATAGCCAAAAAAAAATTATAACTCAAAAACTAACTATAAGTCCTAGATCTAAAGGTTATGATTTTGCCACATATAGCACTTTTGGTTAGTTTATGAGTTATAATTTTTTTTTGGGTTATTCAACAAATTAATACACGTTCCATTATCTAAGGTATTCGACTATAAATAATTTTTTTTTTTTAAGTTTTTATAAATAATTGTTTTACAAGAATGATGACTTTATGAAGAGCTTTACATGAAAAAAATAGTCTCAATATTTTTTTCTTGTCATCCTTAATTTACTCATTTTCTTCTTCCCCTCGTAAAGAGGCAACATCTAAAGATGAAGGTGAATAAAGGAAAGAATAGGTAATGATATGATACTATAACAAGACAATGTGAAACGAAAGTGAAGCAGTCATCAGTGACCATTTTAAGTATTGTGAAGAGGAAGTCCTAAGGTTGGAAGAACCTGAACCAAGTGAGAAGAATTCACTGGTAGACTCACTGGTAGAAGAATTTGGAGAGGTTGGAGGGTGAGTTTGCTGAGTCTCATTTCTGTCTAGACCGGCCAACTTTGCCCTTTTGATAAATTGAGTTTCCTTGACAATAGTCTCAATAATTTGGTATGTGCTTTGGATGTATTAATTTATTCAGCCCTTGGCACGTCTTTTTCCATTCATATATTATGTTTCGGCGATAGTGTTGAAAAACTATTTGTCCTTACTATGGTTTTCCAAATCTTTCTATGGCTTTTGTTTCCCATTGGATCCAGGTCTCTCCGTTACCCTTTTGAGAAATGTCTGCATCTGCTATTTTCGTGGAGTTTCTAGCATTCCTTTCATCTATTTGAATGAAATAATTTTGACCAATGAACAAAATAAAAATGAAATGAAATCAAGATGGAGAGTCGCGCTCAAGTAAAACATGGAAAATGACTATACACATAAACATAAATAATGGCTCAAATTTTGAAGGGCCCGACTAAAGAATTTCATTAGAACTTAATTCATATGTTTCAGTTAGACAACATAGAAATCTGGTCAAGTAGTGGTCAGAAGATTCCACAACATATCGATATAATTATTGTTTTCTGGATACACCTAGAAACTAGAAACATCTCATTATTTCTTATTTACAATGAATTTTTTCAGTTTTGTATACGTTATCCTCTTCTACCTCAATCTTTATTGGCAACCCCATGGAAAAATTATATAGCAATGAGTAATAATACTTTGACAAATGATATGAAGAATTTTTTTTTTTTTTGGATGATATGAAGACATCAAATTTCGAAGCCATAGATTATTAGGATGCTAGTTTTTTTTTTTTTTTTGTCAAACATTGGATCTCATTACTTAAAGGATTGCATTACATGGATAGATTGGAGTTATCAAAACTCGTTGATAAAGACAACAAAGTTTGAAAAAATTACAAGTTAACGAAGATAAATTTTTAAGATAAAGCGACTGCGAACCCAAACACGTCAGATGCGTCGACAAGACATTCACGACAAAGCCGGAAAGTTGAGAGATGGTCACATTTACTTTTGACGTTGAAAGACAATCTTTACCTCGGAAACTCATCGAGGCGAGTTCCGTTGCATCTTCAGGTCCCGTGGAGATCGCTGCACAAGATGACAATACGGTTAAAAATTGACAATTTGTTCTCGTTCTATAACTGCAGAAAATTCTCCTCGCAAAGAGAAAGAAGATGGATGTGAGATTTTCTCCCCAAAAGAGGAGGATAAAAACGATCTCTCCCCTAGGGAGGAAGTTGATCTGTCCTTAATGACGGAGGAAGGTTTAAGACAATACAATTCTGGCGATATCACGTTGAAAGGAGCATATGTATTGATTAATGGGTCTTTCCACAAGAGATTACCCAATAATATAAATTGGCCCATGCCCAATATAAGAACGACATCGGAAAAGTTTCTGGAAGAAATCACGTCGGAAAGGAAGCTTTGACAAGTCACATTGACGGTGAAGCTCGGGGACGACGACCATAGGAAAAGTTTGATCTTCTGATATCTCCCCAGAGCCAAAGCTTTTACCGGCGAGACTGATATTAGAGCACAATGATTTTAACGAGTTTAGTAACAACATGCCCAAAACGGCAAGAGCGGGGTACAAGATGCAGAGGTAAAACGAGAGTGATTCCACAAGAGAGAGGCGGTGGATCTGGTGGAATAGGTGGATATGGAGACACCGGATCTGGATCTGGAGGCTCCGTCAGTGCCGGACAAGGTATCATCCGTAGGTGAGAGGAAGTCGCGGTCAAGTCCAAAGCAACTCGCGGCGACAGGTTCGAGAACACGGCCATCCGAACAGATCTATGAGCCATGGAGAAGACAGAAGAAAAGACCGAGAGATTTGGGCAAAGATTCTCACCGATAACAAAATTTCGGCGGAGATTCGAGAAGAACTTAATTTGGCCACAGATGGAGAAGTTGCGGTGCTTCAAGAGGAGAGGAACTCTAGTCGGAAGAGCTTCGGCGGAAGTTGTTCATCTTGTCTCGAAAGTGCGATGGTGGCAGCTCCTTGAGAGAGAGAAATGTTAGGACGAACTTTTCAGATTGCTAGTTGATATTACAAAATTTCTGAACCAAAATTTCGACTAATTTTTAAAATCTGTAAAGAATCTAATAGTTTA